GTACATAACATTGGGGAGTTCAGAAGTGACTCAACTCAATGAAAGTATCATTTGAGATACTTGGAGCTACTAAAGCTCAAAGCAGAGGAATGACTCCATTCAGAACGCTGGTGTAAGGAAATGAAGCTGGCAACATTCAGGATGGAACGGGAGGGTAAGCAGACAAGTGGCAGGTAGACCAGTTAATAAGTATTTAAAACAGCTTCCTAACAGCTCTCCCTGCCTCTATTCTCCTCTTGCCCGAGCAACACTTAACTAGCAGTGCCACTAACTATCTTCCCAAAACAGCCTGACTAATGACATTTACCTACTCAGAAACCATCACTGGCTCCACATGGCCCAGGAATTACAATTTATATTGCTTCTACTGTTAACACTAAATTGTCTATGTCTGGGTATAACATATAACACTTTGCCTCCAAAGGACATGATTGGATCCTCTGGCACTCTCACAGCTTATACTTCTAAAGCCAGCCCTCATGGGAGTTGGGGAGGTACTTTCTTGTCTAACTATCTGTACAACATAGCATAGACTATATGCAGGGTCAGATAAGACCTGGGTTTAAATCCCACTTCTACCATTCACTAGCTGTGAGACTGAATATATTTCTAAATCCCTTTGGATCTCAGTTTCTTTGCCTATAAAATGGGGATGCTGAAGATAATAATTCTGACTTCATATGGTTGTTGTGGATTTTAAATGAGACAATTATATAAAGCTCTGAGGGTAGGACCAGGCCAAGACAAAGCACTCACTAGCTCCTAGCTCTTTTCTTGAGGTCAGAATGCATTTTTGTGAATATATACCGAAACAACCTCAGTAGTACAACAGTTAACGTTATTGGGGAGCCAGAGACTCACTTCCAACTGATTTAGGTTAACACTCATGTTGTTTACCCTCGTAAAGAACACAAACTTCCTTTTTCATTTCTCAGTCTAGTCTCTAGCTAATCCTGAAACTGCATACAACCCAACGTGAGTCGAATAAAAATAGTAATAATGCTGAATGAATCAAACATTTTATATTTGTATGCTCTAGAGATTGAGATGCATAAGCCAGAACTTTTACTAAGTTCTTTTAGGAGCATGTCCGGGAGGTAGTTCCTGTACTACCTGGGACAATTTCTATACTGACAGGCTCTGTGGTTCAGTTAGACCCTCTTCTCAAGTGAAACACAGCAAGCCAAACTGATGATCCCAACAGAAGAGAAAATCACAAGTTCACTGCAAAATCCAACCCTCTACTTAAAGTGGGAAAGAGGGAATACAAACCTTGAACACATATGCTATGTCTTACATGCAATAATCAACTCAGTATCAGAAAGTATTCTTACCTCTCCCTCCCCTACACTTTTCCCCCATGTAATCCTAACATAGCTTACGTAATTCCCAGAATCCTTTGTGGGTATATATCAATGTGTGTGCACACGCTAGCACACATTCACAGGTGCATTGCTCATGACCATAAATGGAAACAGGAAACAAGAACTCCAAAATCACAACTAAAAAGTTCTCCTTGGTGTTATTCAATGTCACTATAGAAGGGGTCTTTGAAAAGCTTCAGAACATTTCTAACCAACTGCCTCACTCTTAAAGACAATTTCAGCAAAGGTTAGATTACCAATAAAATGCCAATTGTTGTATATCCTTTATCCTGTCTTTATGGAGGAAGGCACAATGAAAATGATGAATTTTAAATTTTCGTATTATTTTTTTATTAGTGAACTAGCATTACCTAGCTAATGCTTTAGTCTCAAATCCCTTCTCCATTAGAACTTCCTAGGTATTCCTTTCTCCTCATCTGTACTGCTCACATGGTACTTATCACATACCATGTTGTATTGCAATCCTGTGTGTACACAGCTTAGCACTCCACTACCTGGAAAGGTCCTGGTGGCAGAGGCCCCTCCTGCCCTCTGGATGCCTCCATGATGCCGAGTACAGAATGTTGTACATAGTAGGTGCTCCAAAATGGTATGCCCATTGAAAGCTGAACAAAAGCTATCCTTTGTTAAAGATCCCTTGTGATCACGGCATCTGGGCTACTCATTATTTGATAAGCACAGGGGGTCAATGCAGGACCTCAGCTGGAAACCCTGTCAGCATGATGTACTCCTGGAAACCCTTAAGAGCACGCCAAATTATCTTAATTATGATCTAAAAAGACTAAGAGTCCTGAAGAATATGGGAGTATTCTTAAACTCTGTTCAAACCTCTAGGAGGCAAGTGCAAAGCCCTCTGGAATAAAACCTTAAACTTGGGACAAGTCTGGGGCTAGGCACCCAGACGTTGTGACCCTTTGGCCTAGAAAACAATTCTGGACTGTTTGCATTAAAAACACATGTACGTACGTATGTACGTACACACACACACGTGTACACACACACACATACCCCACTAGGGAAAACGCCTGGCAATTGATTCATTCAGACACAAGCTGAATACACGTGACTATATTAACTATGCTCTCCAAAATGACCAGAATTATCTGAGTGTAGCACAGAGAAGACAAGGCTAATAATGTATGTATCTGGAGGGGCCATGCTGATGGTAAAGATTACCCCTGTTTCTATACTGGCCGTCTAAAGGTATTTACTTGGGTCTGTCTGTGTTGTGACAGTGTCCTAGACTCAAATGAATGCCTCTAACACTCCACATTTTTGAGCCATTCAGTCATGCATTTTTGTTATTGTTGAAAGTGGTGCGAAATTGCAAGGCATGAGCTAAAGTCCTTGGTGGTCTTCCAAGGATTCCAGCTAAAAAGGCACTTCCTTTGTTCCTCAGGAGAATGCAGTCCAGGAGGTCATTCAAAAGGGGAAATAAAAGCAGCAGCCCTGGGAGGGAGATGAAGGACAAGACAAAAAGAATAAAATGTTTTGGGTGTGAGCACATTAGCTTCCATTTCCTGCTGCTGGTCACTAATAACTCTCCCATCTTTGGGGGTAAAATGTCCAGATAGACATTCACGCAAAAAATATTCCTCAGGTGTTTTCTGGGAATCGTGACAATCAAAGGGAACACCTAGCACAGCCCTTGAGCACCCTTCCAATTTCCTTTTTCCTGAGATGCTGGCTGGGAAAGATGCCCTGCCTCTGCGAGACGGCGCAGAGCAAGGTTGGAGAAAGTGGGGAGGGCCATTTCACAACCCACTCCCTGAATGCCTCCAGTCCATCTCAAAGGCACATATTGTTTGCATGAACAGAAGATGAAAACTTGTCACATTCCCATTAAGTGCATCGCTGCATCTATCCCTTCAAAATGTGGGAATGACAAGTGTAACCTTCACGCCAATCATCTCCGCTGGGCCCAGGCCCAAACCGTGCAGGGCACAAAGACCCCAGGTCTGACCTGCGGAGCCCCCAAGCTGCAGTGGCGGCTGGTTCACTTCACTTTTTCTGGTGGGGCGGGGTGGGGGGAGAAAGAGGGCTTTTCAGGGCTCTCCAACCAATAAAATAATACCGCTGTGAGGACATACTTGAGCTCCCCAAAAGACAGGCAGCTCAAGGGCAAACAGTCTCTAATCAGTAGTGTGCGAGTTATTTGGTAACTGCCAAGGTGCAGTGGGTTCCTAGGCTGCTCCAACAATTTCTTGAGTTCTATTTCTAGTCAGATGCCGGTTATACTCTAAAAGTGCCCAGAAACCTCCCTCAATTACCTTTGTAATTTATGTGTAATTGATGACTGCACTTAATCTCCAAGGTTATTAATAGCCCTTCCAAAAAAATGACCCCAAGTCTTCCTAAGCCTTTGGAAGCGCCTGGTTGAAATTACAGTATTTCCTTTGCTGGCTGCCGGCCCCCTGCCCGCCCCAGCCTGGTGACCAACACCGCAAGGCAAAGGCGCGCTCTGCTCACTTCCATGAAAGGTTTGGAATGGAGGCTTGGCCCCCGGGCTAGAATCGCTCACTTCTCCGTTAGGTTACGCTGGCCACCAGCCAGCTAGATTCGTGCGTGTTTCTTTCTGAACCCTCCGGGCGAACGGGCTACCTGCGCCGCGGATGGCACCAGCGCGGCCCGCCAGGCTGCGCGCAACAGTTGGCCTCTGCGAATGAGAGTGCTACCCGGAGGGGACGGGCCGGGCCACCGCCGCCGGCCTCGCGAAGAGGGGTGAAGGGCACGGGCGCGAAAGTTGCCTCACCAGCATTCCAAGAAGGACTTTCACAAATACCCCCCACGCAACCCCCCAGCGGCGAAATCCGGCGAACTTTTTCACAGGCTAAACCGTCTTCATTTGCATAACCATCCCCAAGCCGAGATTCAGATTTCCTGTAATCAGTCCTTTCAAAGGTTTGTAATTCAATGTGCAATTAACCCTTAAAATGAGGTGAGAAAAAAGAAAAGGGGGAAAATACCATTCCCGTTCAACACCTTCCGGAAAACAGGAGACTTCCCCAAAAGTCAGGGTTTGAAAGGGTGGAGAGACGTTTCCCTTTTAAACGCTACTTCTATAACCACTGTAGCTACTAAAACTCCTACTCCGTGTCAGCGGTGGGGAGAGAGGCGGGGAGAGGGTTTTTAGAGAATATCAATGAAACATCAATTCAGGTTCCACGTTTTGCGCCCCCCCCAATCTGGCAACCTCCAGAAGGTTCTCGCACCCCACCCCACCCCACCCCACTGGCAACCTCCACCCCCACCCGGCCTCTCGTCATCCACACAACAAAGCGGGGAGCCCAGGAAAAAGTTCAACCCGGAAAAGGCGAGGGAGCCGGTGACACGCACTCTGGGGGCCAGAGTCCTTTGGCGCTTCCTGGGACCAGGAAGGCTGCGGGGTGGGGGCAGAACGCGGGAGTGGCACCGGGGAATTCGGCGGCGCCCCACCACTCGCAACGCCCCGAGGGCCGCCGCCTCCGCGGGAACCTTCTACGCCGGGGCTCGCTCTCGCGCTCTCCCTCTGGGCTACCTGCATCCGGCGCGGGGGGGTGGCAGGGCGAGGGGGCTTCCGCGGCCCCTGCGCCGTGGTGCCCGTCTCCGCGCTCGCCCCCGGGGTCTCCCACCTACCGTTGATCTCATGCGTGGGGGCATCGTTCTTGTTGAAGCCTTTGGACACGTAGAGACGTCGCACTTCCGAGCAACTTTTCGACTTGAGCTCTGCAGCCAGCAGCGCGGCGCTGAGCACGGCCAGAGTGCAGAGAAGCGCGAGCAAGCCGAGCCGTGCCATGGTGCGGGCCAGACAGATGCACTCCCACCTTCGGGATGCGACGGAAAGGGGCGCGGGCCGAGGGGAGCGGAGTCGGGGGCTCGCAAGTGGAGCGACGGGGCGAGGGAGTCGAAGTAGGAGTTGGAGGAGGAGAGCGGCAGGAGGAGGAAACGCAAGGCGAAGAAAAGTGGAGCTGGGCCTCGCGCGTCAGGGAACGGTCCCCAGTGCCAGGCGCCCGGCCGGGGGAGGAGGAGGAGGAGGGCGTAGAGGCGGTGCGCGGCCCAAGGGAGCGGAGGCGCTGACCGGTGACCTCGAGGCTCCGCGAGGGCAGCGAACGGGGCGATCTGGCCGACCGGTGGGACAGGGGCGCGGAAAAGGAGGGGAAGGTGGCAGGCGCCGCGGGGGCAGCAGAGGGTGTGGGCGGCGGCGGCTGGCGCTCACTGCGCGCGGATCTGGCTGCCCGGCACTGCTCCGCTCTCCTGGCTCCTCTCGACTCGCTCACTCTGCCCTCGGCCGCGCGGCTGCGCCCTCCTCACCTCCGCCGCTGATTGACTGGCCGGCGTGCACGGCGACGCTCGGCAAACTTGGCCCAGCGGGCGGCACACGGGGAGGGGGCGGGGGGGGGCCGGAGACGGGCGGGAGCTCGCAGGGCCGGGACAGGAGAAAACCTGGAAGCGGGGTTGGATCCGGAGCAACTAAATCCACTTCCTAGGGGGCCGCACCGGGCGCGCGGGCGCTCCCTCACGAGACACGCCCCGCCGGGCTCCTCCCTCCTCCCCTCCTCCGGGAAGGCGGGGAGCCTGCCCGCCGCCCCCCCCATCCATAGAGGAAAGGCTGATTTCTCCGGGGTATACGGCCCAAGTCCTGGGGGACCAAGCAGCTGGGGACTTATCCCGAAACCCACGTCTGAGTCCTAGGATTTCTGTGCG